AAGGAGGACCAGAATTAGTTATGACAGTGTAGATAGAGTTGGAAGATATTTAAGACTCAACTGGACCTAATAACTGATTATACAAGGGAAAATAACAAACAAAAATTAAAAAACATAAGAGAAAAAAGTCAAAGATTTTCAGATTTTATCAAAAAAAATACACTGGAATGGCATTTGAGATTCAGTAAGAGGTACAAATTTCATGTGGAGTGGAAATTGTGGAAATATTAGGTAGGAAGAACATGTTAATATCAACGTGGAGTTATCTAGCCAACTGGATACACTGAAAATAGCATAGAGAGAAATTTTAAAATAGTTTTGGTTTCACCCATTTGGTTTTACTCTCTAGAAGTGCCCATGATCATGTTCGTGTGCCAATCCCCGGCATTTGTGAGACATTCCTAGCATTTAACCACACTGGCTTCTCTTTTTACTTCCTTAAAAACTTAATAATCTTAGCTTTTCACTGGAGCCCCTCAACCCTGCTAAATGTTAAGTAATTATAATACCAAATAACTTTAATTAGGGGCCCCCTTATTAACATTTGTCCATAAAGAAGAATCCATTTATCACAAATTTGTATTTCCTGTCTAATTTATTAGTTCTCTATCTGTAGCAAAACATTCCTGTGATGACCAGAAGAGATTAGTAAATTGTATTGTACCTTCTGTCTTCCTTCAATCTTTTCTAAACACACATACCTAAACCTGATTAAAATATACTGAAAGTCACCAAAAGGAAAGAAGTAATTTGGAATTATTTTCTAATTCAAATACATTGAAAAAAATAAGAGCAGAGACTCTACAGAAGAGAAAGAACTTAAATCTTTCTTACCTGATGCCCCTATATGTGCCTTATCTTCAGGAATCAGACTTTTATCCTTATTTAAATCTTCAACTACGAGTCTGTCAAAATGCTCAATACAAAGTCTGCTGTCAATTTGATATAACAAAGCAGGGCAAAGGTATGTAAATAGATCACGTGAGATCGGAGAATTGGCACCATGACCATAGTATTTTAACAACTGAGTGACGTTCAAACACTGCAATGAAATTGATAAAACAAATTAAGTATGAGTACTTTATGAAAATTATGCAGAAAAACAAATTACGGTATAGTAAAAAATATTTTAAATATTATTTGAAAATAACCTGTAATACACATATGATAGGAATACATTCAACTTGATTACCCAAAATTTTTATGGATTTTAATCTTACGAAACATATAAAAGATAACGATTTTCTGCCATTGATAAGAATGACTTACACCTATAAGATTCTTCAGGGGTGAGGAAAAAAAAATCACTTCCCTAGTCAAAATGCAATCATCAGTACTCAAGATTCTTATCTGTGAAAGTGTTAAATACACTTAAAATTAATTTATTAACTTTATATTCAAATATACCAGATATGGACATTTCCACTACCTAAGAATCCCAAAAGAATGCTAAAATCGGAAGATTAAAAAAAATGCAGCTTAATCCACCAGTACTTTAAATACAAAATACAACAAAACAAAGCAAAAAACAAGTAACAAAGAAATCTGGACCCATCATACAGTAAAAACAAATACCTAAAATTAAGGCAAAGGAGATGGCACTGCCTCTTTTTCATATATACGCACTCTGGTTGTTTATTTCATCTATGGTACAAAAACAAATCAAAACATACGAGTAAAAAAATGATTCTTCTCAGGCATTAACATGAGATACTAACCTATCCGATGCATAGAACATACCCAGAAATCCCGAAAAAATTCGTAATATGCATCGGATCTATGAGGATACAACATAATAAGTCTGATGATCCAGATCCCACAGTAGAATACAAAGAGTAAACATTAATGATAATGTCCAGTTATTATCAACAAAAGACTCCAGGATACTATGCATAGTAGTAAATTAATGTATTTCTTTAAAAGTACACTAAAAATTTTTAATTTGCTAAAAAGCAAATATCTAATGATTTATCCAGGAAAGAAACAAAAGATATTTACTTAGATGTAAAACATACTTTAGTAAGAGACAAACAACAAAGTTCAAGGTCATTTTCCATACTAGATGGTGCTGCTTTTTATACATATGAATAAACAGGTTCAACAATCTTCTCTAAACCGTAATAAGAGCTAAAAATAAGAATAAATAAGGGTGTTGATACAATTTTAATGAAACAAAGATAAATGTTTTTGGGTGCATACTTTTTAAAAAACCAAGAAGGAACTGATCAAATGTGGAAATATTCAAAAAAGCATGAACATTTAGAATAAAAACAGAACTTCCCATTACTATTGGAGTTTCTTATTATTTTACCTTTTTGCATTTACCATACATCTATCATAAGCATGAGACAAAACTAATATCACAAGCAAGTAGGTCCAATGACAAAGTCACAGAGAAAACAAACCTACCACACGTGTAAAACATCTGACTTTGGAGCTAGATCAATGACAGAACCATTCCATAGTTAATTTAGTAAGTTGACAATTATGAAAAAGAAACTGTCTACTCACTTCCCAAGAAAACAGGTTAAAAGAAAAAAGGCTTCAATTTTCACTTATCTAGAATCAAGCTAACAGTAAAAACATGTAAACTAACTTGGGGAGTCAAAATAAGTCTTAAGCAAGTAAAATAAGGGACACATTTCCTAATAACCTTTAAACATTTAGACTTGAGAAACGTGAGAGCAAATAATGCATGTGAAAATCCAGGTAAAAATCTTTAATCTAATTTTGATTCCTTTATGTATTTTGTAATTGGAAATAAGTTCAAATACAGCTGTTTATTCCACTGTTACTTCTCTTTTTACCTACAAATAAAAATGCTTCACGATCACCTGAGAATTACGGAGCAAACACCCTGTTATGCTTACCTCATGTTGCCGGTCATCTTCATTATGATCTTTGTGACTAGCAGCTGAATAAATTGCACTTTTTTTAACATGCGGTGCTTCTCGTTTTCTAGTATGTCGAAGTTCACCTTCATTATCAGGATCAAGATCTTGGTGTCCATGACCAGGATCATGACCATTATGTTCTGGAAGACGTACATGAGAATGACCTGGATTATGTACACGATCAGGTTTGTGGACCCGATTATGCTCATACTGCTCACCCTGATCATGGTTAGGGGGAAAACCTGGTGTAATAACCTCAGAATTTTCATTACTTTTCTTCCCTTTTCTCTTCCTCTTTCCTTTCAGTTGCTTGCTTTCAGATTGCTCCTGTGTTTTATTGGTCTCTGTTGAAGGTTCATGGCTAGGCTCCCCACGCTCACTGTGAGTAATGGAATCATTAGGAAAATGACGAGTAGTGTTATGATCGAGGTGATGATGCAAACAATGGTGATGACATAAGCGATGATTACGGTCATGCATATGTTTATCATTAGATTTGACAGATACTTCAATTGTCTCTTTCTCTGGATCACACTTATGGTTTCTTTTTGTTGATACACTGGTCACAGTTTGATTTTCTGAATTTAAATGATTATGGGAATGCTGGTGGTTATGTGAGTGAAAATGCTTTCCCTCTTGAACTGCCAAAATATCTAAGTGAGAAACATGATCATGGCCAAGATCCTCATGATTAATCTCAACTACTTTTATCTCTCCAAGGCCCAAGTTTGTTAAAAGTTTCTCCAGACCAAAAAAGGACAATCTTCCATTTTCACCATAACGGTCAAAAAGTTTTTCAATATAATACTTTTTTTGATTTTCAGCATCCAGCACTGAAAATTTGCTTGACTCCGATTCTGTCATTCCACGATGGTGTCTGTGATGCTCTTCAGAACCATGGTCATGTTCTCCATGGCAATGGTTGCAATGATGGAAAATAAATGTCAGCAAACAAATGAGGCAAAATTTTGTGTGCATATGTACCTTCATCTCTATTTTTCCTAAAGGGAAAGAGAGACAAGCATTAGTTTATACTTATGCAAATTCAAAATAAACATAAACTTTCCCACAGTTGACAATCCACTAGGCAAATGTTTTACCCATTTCTTTCATAGCTACGAATTGTTTTCTCCTTCTCCAATTCCCTATAAAAAGGCCCTTTTTATCAGAATAGTGTATATCCTTTCACATTAATACAAATCTGCTTAAAACTCACCTACAAGCCTACTCTGACTCTCTTTAAACACAACACTTAAGAGTCTATATAGGAAATGTTGGCTTCCTACCTATCTGATCCTTTACGAAAGTTTGCTGATCTCTGTTCTTTAGGTCCTGGTCAATTAGTCAATGAGATGAAATACAATGATAAAATGTGTAAGAATCAGAAAGAAATGAAACTGTCATTATTCACAAATGGCAGTCTTGGGTATGCAGAAAATCCAAAAGAATCTATAAGAATGAGTAAGTTAATTTAGTACACTTGTATATAAGGACAATAACCTGAAATCAATTCTATTTCTCTACACTGGCGATAATTAGAAAATGAAATTAGGAAAAAACCCACTATCCTTTATAGTAGCAAATAGATAAAAATCTAACAAAAGATGTGCATGACCATTTCATAAAAATAAAGGATCATGTATTATTGAGAAATGAAGGATCTAAATAAATAGGTTCTCATGTTCATGAGTGAATGAGATATAGATCCAATATAATTCAAACCAAAATCCCAGAAGTAATTTATGAAAATTGATGGAGTATTTTTAATCTTTATGTGGAAAGAGAAAGGGCCAAGAATGGTGAAGACACTCTTAAAGAACACAATAGGAGCACTTACTCTACCAGTTACTAAAGACAGTGTTGGGGGGAGGGTATAGCTTAAGTGGTAAAGTGCATGCTTAGCATGCGTGAGGTCCTGGGTTCAATCCCCAGTACCTCCTCTAAAAATAAATAAATGAAGACAGTGTGATATTTGGTGTAAGAACAAACAAACAAAGTAATCCAAAAATAGATAAGATTTTTCTTTTCCTTGGTGCTTGGTCAACCAGATTTCTATATAGAAGAAAAATAAATTAATTAAATTTGACCCCCTACCTCACATCATGTGTAAATATTAATTATAGATGGATTATAAACCTAAATCTAAAACAATAAATGTGAAAGTAATGAAGGGTCCAAAACTGTGCTGCTCAACATGGTAGCCTCCAGTCACATGCAGCTACTTAAATTAAACTAACAATTAAAAATTCAGCTTCTTAATCACCCTATCTACATTTTAAACACTCAATTGCCACATGTAGCTCACAGCTACCATACTGAACAATGAAGATAAAGAATATATCCATCATTACAGAAAGTTCTACTGGACAACATGCTTTTAGAATATGGAAATACTGTGTGAGTCAATTATGTAATTTTAAGGTTTTCTAGAATAAACAGGTGAAAGTCACTTTCACCCTATATTTTATTTAATCCATTATATCCAAAATATTACCATTTCAACATGTAAATATTATCATTTATTAGTAACAAAAGTTACTAATAAAAATTTTACATTCTTTTTTAATACCATGTCTATGAAATCTGGCATGTATATTACACTTACAGAACATCTTTTACTTCAGACTAGCCACATGCGGCTACTGGCTACTATACTGGAAAGTGCAGATCTAGATGATTTATTTGGTAGATTAGCTTCAAGACCTTTGAGATATGACATAAAAAGCATTATAAATGAAAGACTGATAAAGTACACTACATTAAAATAAAGCAATTTCTATTCATAAAGAGACATTATTAAGAGACTAAAAAGGCAACCATAGATTTGGAGACAATTACTGCAATGTTACCAACCAAGAATATATAAGGAATTTCTATAAATCATTATGAAAACTATGAGACAACTCAATGGAAAAATGGGTAGGAAATTTGAACAGGTGCTTCATAACAGAATAGCCAAATTACTAAGAAGCAAGGTTCTCAATCTCAATAGTAATCAGAGAATTATAAATTAAAATCACTAGTAGACATTATTATATACCCACCAAAATGAATAACATATAAAAGATGTAGGCAAGAATACCGATTGAACTGGAACTCCTGGTGGGATTATAGACTGAACTGGTATCTTTTGGAAAACTGCTTGGCAGGATATGCCAGAAATTGACCACAAGCATATCCACTCGCATAGCAATTCTACCCCTGGATAGATGCTCAGCAAAAATACACGTACAGAACACCAAAACGCTAAAAATGAAAGTTCACATAATCATTATTCATCATAGCTCAAAAAAGGAAAAAGCCCAAATGTCCATTAATAGTAAACTGGATAAATAAAACTGAACAATTTCACAATGGACTACTACATAGGAATGAAAATGAAATTACAGCTTCACATGTTAACACATATGAATCTCAGAAATATCAGACTGAGCAAAAGATAACACTAAGGAAATCACAGGGCAAAATTCTACTTATATAAACTTAAAAATGGGCAAAACTAAACCAAGACAATGATTACTTTTGAAAGGAAGATAGGGGCAATAACTAGAATTGGAAATTGTGGTTATGTTCTTTCTTTACTTGAGTAATGGTTACACAAACATGTTTACTTTGTGATAATTTATTGCACTTACTATACTCTGTGTAGTTTCCTGTACACATGTTGCATTTCAATGTAAAGTTTTTAAAAATCAATTTTCCTTCAGTGAAAACCAATTATAAAATGTAATTATAAACAAAAATTATTAGGCTCCTAGAAATAAGCAGAACAAGACCATTAAAAGGAGAAATTTATAAGACATTATTGAAGGACAGTCAAGAATTATTATAAAAACTGGAGAGATATCACCTATATGAATGGATCAAATGGTGTAAGACATATAAAGTCTTCCCGAGTGTACATACAAATTTAATTCAAAGTCAATCAAAATCCTGGTAGTTGTTTGTTTTCGGTGAGACTGCACAAGCTCATCCAAAAATTTATATGGAAGAGGAAAAACCCAAGGACAACCAAGACAATTCAAAAATTAGTAAGGTGATAAAAACTTCTTTTTATAAAGTTACACTAATAACAGAACTGGTACAGAGCCAGAAAGACAGACCAAAAGAGCAGAACAGAATTTAGAAAAAGAAACAATAACGTCGATTGTGAAAAAATGGTTCCTCCTCACGTCCTATACAAAAGTCAATTCCAAGAGGGTTAAAAATCCTGATGTGAAAAACAAAATTCTTAACAACTTTTAGAATAAAATATAGGAGACTATTATGACTTTAGGGTAGGGAAAGATTTTTTAGAAAAGACACAAAAAGCACAAATCTTAAAAGAAAATTTTGATTAAATTTAATTAAATTCTTTAAATATTATTCTACAATAAAGAACATAATAAACAAAGGTTATGACAAGTTATAGACTAAAAGATATTTGCAATATGTATAAACAAAGATCAATATCCAGAATATGTAAGACATACATATATACACACATACATATCAAGATGGAAAAAAACTCCAGTATGGCAGACAACTATATAAAGGATATAAACAGGACAGATGGCTGAGCAGAGACATGATTACTAATAATCTAGATAATGCACCAAGACATTAAGAGGCAAAAATTAATGTACAAAAATACCAGGTGTTAAGCAAAGATCTAATGTAAATAAACAGAAACTAGGGTACACTGCAGTGGAAGCATATATTTGGGGAACTATTTGGGGAAGCAATTTAACATTTACTAAAGCTGAATATGACACTCTATAGCCCTCAAATTTCACTTCTATCTATCTACCCTAGAGAAACAGAAGACAAATTCAAGAATCTTTATTACAGTATTGTTGGTTTGGGTTTTTTTTTATGTTATCTATCTTATAACAGGATGCTTTGGTTGCAAATAACAGAATATTCAACTAGAAGTGGTTAAAACAAAGAAGAAAATTCCACATTAAAAGAGGTGGGAAAAATGGTAATTCCAGGACAATTACACAGTCAAATACTCAAATGCTCTCATCCTCAGATCTGTCTCTACAGAGTCTCAAGAAACAGCTATTGCTACAATCATCCCATCCTTGCAAAACCATATCCAAAGCTGGGAGGTTTACCTTCATGTCTTTTTTTCCAGGGGAAAAAAAATCTTTCCTGAAAGTCTCTCCCAGATTTTGCTTTACATATCTTTGATCAGGACTGTACTACACACCACCCCCTAAACTGGTAAAGGAAGAAACTACTTAAGACAGACTACTTAGATCGGCTTAGACAAATCAACATTCACTCCTTTGGGACTGGAAAGAAGGCATCTCTCCTATGTATATAGGAGGGCATACTCAAAGTAAGGAAAAAAGAGGTAAATGAGGAATGGCAGTTGACTATATAACCACAAGCGGCTGCCACAAACCTAAATGCCCATCAGTAGAAGGATAAATTTTAAAAATGGCATATTTATGTAATTAAAGATTACACTAAAGTTATAAATGTATGACTCTGAAAGAATACATTACAGGCACAAATCTCAGAAGCATAATTTAAAAAGTAAATTACAAAAAGGCACATATTTCATATCATTTATACACAATTAAAATATGCAAAATACTTTACTTTGGGGTATATATACATGTAGCAAGAGCTTACATGGAAATGATTACAATCTGCAGAGTGGTCATCTTTTGAGGAAGAGAAGAAGGGAAGTCAGATGGTAGAGAGGATATACACATTTAGCTGCATCTGCAGTATTTTATTTCTTAAAAAGTGAAGGGAATCTGAAGCAATGTGACAAAGCATTTAATATTTGTTAAAGCAACATAATGGGATTCAGGTGTTTGTTATACAGATCTTCCTCAACTTACTATGTCTCAATGAAACCTAAGTTGAAAAATATCATAAGTTAAAAGTGCATTTAATATACATAATCTATCAAACAAGGTTTAGCCCAGCATATCTTAAACAGAGTACTTACATTAATTAGCCTACAGCTGGGCAAAATCATCTAACACAAACCCTGTTTTATAATTATAAGTTAAATATTTTATGTAATTTATTGGACACTGCTGAAAACAGAAGGCTGTATGCATACCGAACGGTTGTAAGTGTATCACGTGTTGGCTGTTTACCCTCGTGATCGTGGGCTGACTGGGAGCTGCAGCTCACTGCCACTGCCCAGTTTCACAAGACAGTATTGTACTGCATATCACGAGCTTGGAAAAAGATCAAAATTTAAAACACTGTTTTTTTCTACTCAATGCATATTGCTTTTGCACCACCATAAAGTCAAAATAATCATGTCAGAGACTGTCTGTATTCTGTTTACTTTTTTTAAGTTTGATAGCTAACCACCATCAGTGATTAATCAACATGTGTTGTAGGAGTAGCTATCATGGTTACCTGGGAACTTGTTAGAAATGTGAATTCTTGCACCCCACCCAGACCTACTAAATCAGGAACTCGAGTTGGGGTTTAACAGTGTTTCATCCAGTTTTCCTGGTGAGTCTGATGCTAGCTAAAGTTTGAGAACCACTACCTATACAAATAAATTTTAAAAACACACCGACTTATTTAAAATGATAATTAAATCAAATATTAAGACTACCTGAATACATTAGGTTGAATTACCATGTGGCTTCTGTGGGTTATGAATTTTAGAAAATAAGCAGTCTATAAAATATATATAATCCCAAAGCTACACTAACTTTGACGGTTTTTTTTCTAATCCAAACACTTCAGTTTCTTATACAATCTCATGGATAAAGTCACCATTTAAAATATATCAATTTTACCTAAATACTAATGAAGATGAAAGGGCATGGATAACCAAGATGTTAAGCAGAAAGAGACAAGGTTACACTCCCTGTAATTACCTTAGTTTTCCACTAGAAGGTACTAGTGAAAGGTGATATTCTGAATGAATGTTCATCTGATATGTAAATGTCTGGCAGTTTCTTCAGTGTACATTATCTCACTGTCAAATGAATAGGTACAAGCAGTAGAAATAAAACATACATATACATTGATCAGGCAACATCAAATGAATAACTCCATGAAACACAAAAACTATGGGTGGTCTATGTAAGCTTTAAATTGCCACTTGTCACTATAAGTCAATAAAAAAATGTTTAAAAAATTGCCACTTGTCTCTATTTTTAAAATGTACAGTTCTCAATTTGTTTACTGAAAAGATTCTAATATCTTTAGTCCCCTAATCATTTACATTTAAGAGAGCACCATAGGAATGCAAACATGAGTGACATCATAGGGGTAATATTAAATCTGTGCTAAGTATTTTTTTAAAGTAAATCATTCATAAACTTTGCAACCTTCGTTCAGAACAACTATAGCAGATGTGTACCTAAGAATTACTTGGATGAAGTATGCATTTGTCAGCATATACTAAGCAGCTATTGCAAAGAGACCTCAAAGGGCAGTTGCCTAAGAAACAAGTTTCCTTCTTAAAAACAGTCCAAGTTTGACTGCTCCAGGTCTGTGAGCAGCTCTGCTCCAATAATTCAGAGAGACATCGGCCTTACTTGGATGCTATTCTAGCCAGCGGTAAAACACAAACAATGGAAGTTCAGGTTCAGAAATTTCTTAAGCAGTAAATGAAGTAGATACTGCTTGCATCACTTCTCACATTTCATTGGCAATAACTTAGTCACATAGGTTCAGTCAATCAAATAAATAAGGAGACTGGGAAATAATCTCACCTACCATTGACAGTTTTCCAAGCATTATAGGGAAGTTAAGGATCCTTTTCTATCCACAGCACAAAGACCATCTTTGGGGTGGAGAGAGGAATGGGGGAAATGTTGCCCAAATCCATTTACTACTCAACCTCAGATATTGGCCTCTACAGGACTGTTTTGCCATAGCCAAAATCTTCTGTTGTCCCTTATGTTTTGCAGTTTTCTAAGCTTTGTGCATTGAGAATGTTAGTTTTATAACTGATTTTTTTCTCAATTCAGCAAATACACATTGAGTTATCTACCAAAGACTTCTGGGTATATAGACAACTATGCATGATTCTACTGCACAAAACAATGAATTCTGGAAAATAGCTAGTAGTTGCCACCACACATCTAATTTCATCTTTTGTTATTGATTTTCAATATATCATCGTAGTTAAAAGTTTATTCTATCACTGTATAATTTCTACATTAAGTACATAATTCACAATTAAGTACTTTAATCGTTGTGCTAGTTAATTACATTACTTCTGATGCAAATAGATGGCTCTGCATGCAAAGAAAAAAATGAGATTCACTAATATTTTCCTGTAAAATTCACTAATATTTTAACATTAACATCAGAACTAAACACTTATTGAGGACACTGGTTAGCCTTTGTTGTGAGAAATGACCAGGAGGAATCATGCAGGAAATTCTGGGTTGCAGTTGGTGTTCTATCTCTTCCCCTGGGTGCTGGTTACATGGGTGTGTTCACTTCATAAAAATCTGCTGAAGTATACACTTAACATTTGGGTACTTTTCTAGAGGTGTGCTACATTTCAGACAAAAGTTAATTTTTAATCCCCAAAGAATATGTATTTCAACTTACAATTAGTAAAATTAGTAATATGCAGTTTCTACAAACAGACCCTGAATCATACCCAAAGACGAATTTCATTTAACTTTTTAAAATAGTTTAAGATTCACAAAAAGTTGTGAAAATAGTTCAGAGTTTCCACGTACTCTTTACTCAATTTTTCCCAAGGACATTTTACATAATCAATAGTACATTACAAAACCAGGAAACTGACATTGATATAATACTATTAACTAAACTACAGACCTTATTCTAATTTAAACGGTTGTTGCATGCAGTCCTAAAAATACTGCAATAGAAAATCCATTTCTTAAACAGAAAAAAAAAAGTATCATTAGTAACCAAAGGATCTTGCTTAACAAAATATGGGATTATACTGAAGAAAGGTTAACTAGAACCTTAAAAGTAAGTAATCAGGGATGATAACCTCCATAAGTTCTATAAAGGCTTACAACATTTTTAATTACAGGCTTTCTGTTGTAGTTCTTCCATATAAAATGCTACATAATAAATTTTTCAATTTTTAAATAAATAAAATTGAGCACCTACATCAAGAAAAAACTGAAAATACACTAAATGCTAACATTACAAATCCATCTAGATATTTTGTCTCAAGAAAAATAATTATCTTTATTTTATATAGATGAATGTAACAGGGCCTTAGAAAGTTTAAGATGAAAAAATCGTTAAGTATAATTAGCTAAACATTCTTATTTTATACACAGGAATCTAAGACCCAGTGAAGGTATACAATTAGATTAAAGTGATTTCAAGTTTGTGGCAGTCCCCTGACCTGAAAGTCAAAGGTCCTTTCTGCTACACCAGCATATCTATATATAATTTAAAATCAGAACACTGTGAGATAATTACTCATGTAACCCATCTAAAATATACTACCAAAACATTTTAAAGGGAAATCATCTTTAATACAGTCAGTATAAAAAAAGTCAACAAGAACATCACTAGCTTACTTAACAAAATGATTCATGTAAGAAAAATTACTAATGAACACTAAAATAATTCTGTTTCCAACACTTGGTTCCTTTTACTGGAGAGACCAACTAAGTAGATATCCTGTGTGTAATCTACTCAATTCATCTGACTGAAAAACAGACTTTTACTCAAGGGAGTATTTTTTAAAGGAAAATGTAGACCAAATGAAAGAACCAGAAGTTAGTATCTGTCTCAGGCTCTCTGTCTCTCACACACACACCCACACAAAATACATATATATGCAAACTAATAATCAGAAAAAAATACTGTAAATTGCTAGGCAAGGTTTTAAAACTAGCCATTTCAGTGTTCCAGATTGGTATTTTGAAGGTCAGTAAAGCAGAAACCAGAAGAAAAATTACTAAAACCCTCAACCTAGATTATATAAATATATCATGCATTAAGTAAACTTAATGTGAAAATTCATTTAATAAATAAATGTACACAGTATCTTAATTTCATAAAGGACTTCATTTTTTTCAAAGATTTCATTGTAGTTTCTTTAAATAATGGTAGAAATTAGTTTTACTTATATCCTGAATCACATAAATACAACTGGTATTTATATCACTGAATGACTTCAATCTTTTTGCATATTGACAGGAGTGTAGGTAGTCAGATACCAATTTAGTTTCCTTCTGTGATTCAGCAGTAGTACACACAAACTGGGTGAGAAGCAATGAGACTGCATACTTAAGAAACACTACCTAGGAGCCAAAGATCTCAGTTAGAGATCTGGTTCTGCCACTTCCTGGCTCTAAGATACTGGGCAAGTCACTTATGACCATTTATAAAGTGGGGATATTAATCCCTGGTCTATTTCACAGTAATTATGAGAACCACGTAAGATTACATAGACCCTTTTTTAAGTGGTAAAAGGTTTAAATGTTTTTCCACTTTATTTGTAATGTTTAAATGCTATTTAAGCACAAGTTATTAATAGTAATATAACTTGGATCCATTTTACATCCCATTTCTGATATATCTACCCAACGTAACATCTTGTACATAGAACAGAACCAACAGTTGGAAACCTGTCTCTCATTCCTCCCAGCACTGTCACTGTTTCCCCTGTGTTGCAGGGGAAATAGCTCCTACACCTATCCAGCAATTGAACTAATCTATATGAAATGTATACTTTGTAAATTATATTAACCTAAGCTATTACCACTATTTCTATTATGTATTAGGTATTATGGATCTTTCACTTAACTTCTGAAAATAGAACCAGGGGAGGGAAAAGTCCCTTCGTTTTGATTTCTTCCAAAAAATGCTATCAAAAATATTCCAAGAGCACATGCAGCTAAGTTAGTACAACCCAGACCAACTCTCGATTACAGGAGGCACCCAATTCACTAGTATTTGAGAAAAAGTTGGAAAGAATTGTGTCATACCAATTCCACTGGCATTATAAAATTTTCAAGGCATAAAGTTATTTCAGTAATGAGGTCTCATCAAGAAATGCAAAATTCTTACAGCATTAAGTTCTGCTTTTTCATTTCCCTACTTTCCCAGCTACCTAATCTACTAATGCCACAGTCTCAGTTTGGAATGTCGATGTAGCTATTCCTCCAAAATAAGCACAATCTCTAATAATTACCCAGACTCACATTCATATAAAAATAGTGGATGCATGCTAATTGAGCTTGGGCAAAATTCAGTGCTTCTCTTGTTTCACTAGCTTTTTCTTTTTAAGAGAAAGAATATAAACACCTGAGCCTTGAATTAATATACAAAATTACACAACCACATGTATCTATCTTTATCGTACTCAAAACATTCATGTACAAAAGCTGTATTTTCTCATTAAATGTCAAAACAACTATCTGAAGTCTCCGCTTTTCGAGCTTTCACTACAGGGAGCCTAGAGCAATATCGTAGAAAGCCACTTATGATGTTCCTGTGTCTGTTTTGCTGCTTGTGAATACAAAGAACATCTGAGATTAGTGTATGTATGGGCCAGGGTAATTTCACCAGTCATAAAATATTGTGATGTCTTTTAAGCCACTAAAATGTTACAATTTTAGTTACCCTTTCAGTAAACAGGCTTCAACCTCTTTCCACTACAAATGCATGTAAGAACCTACACAACGTGTATCACAAAAAGGACTTAAAGAGTGCTAACCTTAGGATGTGAAATAGACACACTCCTTCTCCCTTCAACCTGAAGAGTTATGTTCTCTTTTGACTTGTCACTGACTGGCAGTTGCCTTCATTCTAAGAATAGTTACTGCCTTCAAATCTTTATCACTCCATGTATCTTCACTCTTCCCTTTATTTTCCTTTTTCAGCATCTTGCCACTGTTATATGTCCCTGATTTTGTATCAGCTTGCCCTTCTTAGCACTGCCAGTAAAATGATCTTTCCTTTCCACAGGTCAGGAAGAAAGAGAAATCACAGAATGTCCAGAGCAATCTTTTTTAACATTAACATTTTTTGAAGCTGCTGACAACACAGGCTACTTCTTCACCAGGGAAGCTTTCCGTCTGATTAACTTCAGCTGTCCTTATAGTTACTTTAAGCCATCAAAGTCCTCCTAATTGTTGAACAAAGTGAACTGATTCAGTTCTGCCATACAGCAGCATCTTACAAAAGTATAAGTCAAATGTTAAAGCTACTTAATTTTCACAAACAAACAACCAATTTCACTATCAATTATCAATCTATCTTATCATCAAGTTCAACACTGTCCAACATAAAGAAAAGTATATAAATTCTTATTTAAACAGAGTCTTCTTGGGACATATTCTCTTATAGAATCACATTCAGCTATACAGACTGGAGTAGATTTTGTGATATATAGGCACATAAAAAAAGAAAAAGAAAAAATTAAGAAAATTATTAATACTAGGAAAAAAGTTGCACAGGAAAGGAAAAAGTTAACAGTTTATTACAATGACCCAGTAGTAAGTAACAGTCATAAAAATATAACACTATGTATTGTTCTAAACCAAAATCACAATATAACTGTACTGAAAACCTGGGGTATAGGAAACTAGAAGGTACGTGGTGAGGTGGGAAGAGTGCTAAATCCTCATCTTTCATTAAATATATAACAATTAAAACTGAAAATCAACAAGAACAGGTTGGACACAAGGCAGCAAACAGCAAAATAACCAACCAAAGGAACTAAAGGAGCTCCTTATCTCTCTAGGAAGAGTATGAAAGGAAGACAGGGGACTGATTTTCTTTTCCCTAAAATCTTCATAGAACTATTTAATTCTTTAAACTATATTCATGTATAACTTTCAAAAAAACTACAAATTAAAGTCAGAAATTATAAATCTTAACATTTCTGTTAAACAAAATCACATTATGTCACATGTGGAAGATGATGAATTAGTTTCAGGATTTTCACAAGCATTTGTAAAGTTTTAATAACAGTATGTAATCATTTTAATTTCAATTTGTGCTATTTTTGGTTACTTGTTTGGGTAAGTCCACGATGTGGGGAAAGACTACAAAAATTTGAACACATTTCTGGTCTTGTTAACATACTTCAAAATTGTTTTCTAGAGAAATTAAATTTGGTTATACTGCCACCAGCAGCATAATCACAGCATTCTCCTTGGTAGTGGTGTATCACTGATTTTGGAACAAATGAAATTACCTTATGCTTGCTGATGCTTTTAAAATTATTCCTCGTATCTCAATATTTTTATAAACATATACAAGCTTTCATATATCATGGCTTGATCATATTTTCTGCAAACACCTTCAGTTTTGTCCAATGCCTTTTTACTTTGATTACAATGTTCTCCCTTTCATGTAGAGGTGCTTTCATGTACGTGCATTGAAACCTATGAGTTTTTTTGCAATTTCTTCTGTGATTCCTAAATTTAAGAAGTTTCTTCTCCCTATATTTCATATATATTTTCTTCTTAAAAAAAGCTATAATTAAAATTAACATGACCCCTAACGTTCATTTTTTTTTTTAGGGAAAACAAAACATCCACTGAACTAACAATATTCTTGCATATTTACCTGTTAACTAAGAAAGTTTACACTTTAGCCTCAATAAAACTTGCAATTTTTAAGCAGAAATCTTCATAAGAAAAGCTTTAACATTTGTTTTTTAAATTATAAATTACATTGTATGTTATATAATATTGTATTTAGTTAAACAATTTATCTTAAAATCTCTTTCAGTGATTTGATTTTAGCTACACTTCCGATTTCCCTCAGTTTTTAAAAATTGGTATAATTTTTTTTGAAAATAAACTTTTTATTTACACTGGTTATATACATCAAATTTTTTTTATTTGAAAAAATTAAAGTATGCTAATTGAAACCAAAAATCTTAAAAAATATGTTCCAAACATTAACAAGTTATGAAGTCAGCTGAAATTCTACACTAAGAAAGGTTCATGGGAAAAGAAACATATATATTATATATAATACATAATATCTAACTGCTGTTATTTTAATTACATATTTAATTATATAATAATGAAATACATTATAATTACATAAACATTTTTCTATTATAGTTTTACTGATCTCATTGACTTATAATGTAATAACAAATCATATTTTATTCTATACATCTCAATGAGGTATACAAATCAACCCTTCTGTGGCCCCCTTCATCAAGAGGCTAATCTTCCTCTGTAACAAAGCACAAAGCATAATCCACATGTAAACAAAATAAACTAAGAATTCATCTTCAGCAGAGGTGCACTGAGAAGTATTATACTAAACACTTGTTCCCAGGCCTGTCAACATGCAATCATGAACTGCTTTATGAGGGGAGCGGGAACAGAGGAGAAAGGAGGAAAGGGGTAAGAGGCAGGGGCAGGGAGAAGGCATAAAAATAAATATGAAACATTTTCTGCTCTGAAGGAGGTACAAGGAAGACAGTCACCTTGTAAATCAGAGAAGGTAAACTGTGAGAGATAGGACATAAGAAGTAGTAGAAACACTGTGAAAGTTAGTAAGTAGCTCAAGGTTGAAGGCCACATTCCAACTCCAAGCATCGTAGGTCTATTCCTTCTACAGAGGAAAACAGGAACAGGCAAGAGAAGCTCCTACACTATTTAGGTGAATAATAACTGAGAGCTCACATTATTACCTATTGATTTGTATTTGAATGTTTTTCTAGTAAAGTGTTTCACTCATATAGGCTCTAGGAAAATGTAACTATTTTAAAAACGGCAATATGTCAAATAAATCTTAAGAACTGGATCCAGGGGTTGGCTGACTTAGAAGGACCAGATAATTAATATTTTCAGGTTTTGCAGGTAGTATAGTCTCAAAGGCAGCTACTCAATGCTGCTATCATGGCACAAAGCAGCAACAGACCACACATTAATGAGTCACACGGCTGTGGTCCATCAATGCTTAATTTACAAAAGCAGCTGATATGGCCCACGGCCATAGCTTGCTGATTCTACTTAATCTACACATTTTTTAAAATACCAATTCAGACAACTCTAAGGGAATCCACTACTGCAAAACTAAGAAATTCAGACTATATAAGGTGAATTCAGAAAGAAGTTTAGAGGCATGAAGGCACACCTGAAATTATTTAGACTAAACAGGGCAGTGGGATGTATGTATTTGTGACCTTGTTACTACAACTGAAAGCAATTTAGATTTTCCACTTCTTTCATTTACGAACGAAAATAAATCTAAAAGCTAAAGTGATCACTAACAAGTCTTAATTACTAGAGGATTTAAAATAACTTTCACACATACTTCACAGTAATTCTTATAACAATACTTCTGGGTCCTATGCTTATTACTCTAATAAATTTCCTACAACATTCTGATTCACTTTTCTAAATTCCCAAAAATGGGACGGATGATCCCCCAAAATAGCGCACATATTAAAGGTAAACATGGTTGTTAGAAATGTTAATGCCAAGGACAATTATTATCTGATCTTCCTCTTTCAGCAGTAAAATATCTACAATATAATGGGTAATTATAAACTACAATTATAAAAGCATAATCTACCACTAACTCTTAGTGACAATAACCTAAACACTGCTTGAAAAAGATGTTAGATTTCTATCCTTATACTTACAAAACTGTAACCACCACTCCATCCTAATATCTTTTAACATACAAAACCTCATATTAAAAATCAACTTTAAAGAATCTAATACCCAACCCTTATATCTAGCAATAAAAAAAACCTTATGTTCTGATAAGACAACAGAATTTGAAACTGTATTTTCACAATGTGACATGACAATTACTGTGTACTGAACATTAAGTGTGATCTCAAGTAGCTGGAATAATTTCAATAATGCTATTGTTATTTAAAACTTTGCAATTTCAGTCGAAATTGCCTTCATACCTACCCAATACACTTCTGAATATTCTGACTGTGGCAAATTTTTATCAAGAATATATTTGATTATTTTGGGAAAATCTAAAAGTCATTCACAAAATTTATAAATAGAAAATAATGAAAGTAGAAAAAGTAGTTTGGAATACCGATAATTGGTATTATCTGAAATCTTAGCATTTACATAAATGACTAGAAGAAATCTGTGGTTATTAAAGGTTCTTGAGATTATTTTTCAAAAATCATTCTATAAAAGTCAAAGTTTCAAATAAACTTGAACTTTAAAGAAAAGCTCACCATGTTGTTTTAAGATTTTCAAATTTTATTTTCAGTATAGTCAAGGTAATACAAAGTTATGTGGGATTACATTAAGCCAATTAGCCCAGATTAAGTTAATAAAACTTTTGCTATTCATATATAAAGCTAATCTCAAATATACACCTTCAGCATATATTCCTCTTTCTGTTTGAAAAATCCCCCACATAATCTTGCAAGCAACTTGACCTTCTGTTATATCTCCATCCAAAACTTACTCCCTATTTGGAAAACTAGGGTTAAAAGCAATCAGAATTAACCAATTCAAAATGACTCTTACTAGCAACACTAACCAGCTGGAGGAAATCTTAAGGTAGACTAGATAAATAAATACAAGGAATCTCAATTGTAATTTAAACAGTCTTGTTTTCTGGAAAAGTTGAAGGTCAAGGTAAGCTCATAAAAACTTCAATGGGAATCAAACACTAGGGGGCAGCATCCAACTGCTGGGACAAACTGGGCACTCTTCTAACTTACAAACTTTAAGCTAAAGTTAGTGTACTTTCAATGAGAACTACACTTACTTTATTGGGTTATAAAACCTGTGATAAGGAAAAAAAACTAGCTTTCTGTCCTGATTGCCCACACTTCTTTTCCATTTTTTACCGTGTACTTTCTTTTGCATCTTGTGAACATCAGTTTAAAATGCCCTAGTGATAATGTCCTTTTGATATTTAAAAAAAAGGCATTTTCATTCTTTAGGTAGCCACTACATAGACAAGGGCTGACATAAAAATCCAAAGTATTTCCTTGAGTTAATGCTAAATTTAAATTTTGTTTCAATTAACATTTTAAATTTGATTAAAGAGCTTGAAAACCACACTTTGCACATTCACTTAATAAGGTGTCATGAGGATTATGTGACAAAAATCTGTGGCGTACATGCCCCTCAGGGAATTTAGTCTGGCAGGGAAAACAAGATGTACATATGTAATTATAAGTTAGAAAATGCAAAAAAGGCATTATTACACGAGTAACAAAACAACAGGATAACTGTACTACAACCCCACAAAGGCCCAGTAGAGACCACTAAGTCTCATTCATAAATCTCATCAAGACACAAAGTAATCCTTCAATCACTAGTGAAGAACTGAAATATCTGTATGTAGAAAAGAACATAAAATGAATTAAGTACCTGTAGCCCTTCGGTTCTTGTCCAATACTGGCCAAAACCGGAGGTGGTTGGGGTGGGGGGATAGAACAGTAATAACGTAAATTCTTTTTAATTAAAGCAAATGATCATTTGTTGTTGAATAATTTCCCCTGTTGTAATACCTATACCCTATAGTCTCCATAAATCAGTTTAAAAACAAGCAAAAAACAAACAAAAAACCCACCACCTGGAGTAGTATTTGAATATCAAACTTGAGGCCTCCTGAAAGTACTTCAAATCAAGTGCTCAAAAAAGAGAACTGTGTTGGCTTTTGAGCTGTTAGTGGGATACAAATTGAAAACAGGAAGAATAAGTACAGGCTATCATGCAATGTATTATTGATGTCACCTCGTAAGAGACGTCTTCCCTAACCACTTCTTTTAAAGTAGCACCAAAGTCACTCTTGCACAGAGGTTCTTAACCGGGGGGCTGTATACACATTTCAGGTTTGTGAACTTAGGTAGGGAAGAAAGATATATCTTAATTTTAATTAATCTCTGAAATTTAGTTATTCCTTCAATTATAAAGGTAGGCCAAAAAATCACAGTAATATGCAGTACAGGACACTATCAATATAGATTACTCAAATTAAACCCTTTAAAGTTCACTTACAATTCTTACTAGTCTGAAATTAGTCATTATCAGACATGCCACTACTAATATTTAATGCTTTACTAAAATCATACTTACTACTTTGGTAATTACATTTCAATAGTTGGTTTCTGTTGTAATCCTATATATTTCACACATTTAAAACCGTCATTCTAAGGTTCATCACACAAAAAAAGTTTAAAAGTCTCTTCAGTACATCACTTGTATTTTCTTCATACCACTTTTCACTGTTAACTATGTATTTCTCTCTCCCTATCGAGTACTCAGCACGTGTAGGGACGTGGGTTGCCTAGGATGGACCCCCAAGGTCTAGAACAAGTGACTGACTCAGAAGGCAGTTCAGATCTGTAAAATTCTAAGTCCTAATAAAAAACATGACACAACACTTTAGACTTCAGGCTTTCAACTGCATTACTATAATCAACTACATTGTTTAAGTCTCTGGCTTTTTCAATATACTACTTGCTTGTTCTTAATTATGTGGAATTTAAATAACACCCCCCCGAAAGAAACCCACACAAATGGAATGTAAACCTGTCACATCCTAGTTTTGCTCCCTCCAGAATGACTCAGTACTGAACAGCGTAAAAGACGTTAAAGTTTTTTTTAAATAAAAGCCCACAGTATAACCTACCATCTTTTGAAATTATGTG